GGGGGCAGGGGGGCCGGCCCCTGCAGCTCCATGGGCAGGGTGTATGGAGGCTCGGCACGGCAGCGGCCAGCTCTGCCAGGGCTGATAAGCAGCGGGGATGTGCTGGGGATGGCCTGATAACGTTAGAAGAGAGCTCCAGGTTCCTCCTGCCGCCTTGCTCCCCGCAAGTCCCACCACCTTCTCCAGGCGGGACGAGCCGAACCGAAACCGTGCTCAGAGCCAGGCGCTGTGCAGTGTGTTTAATCAGAATCAGCAACTGCGTGTTTCCTAGAAACCATCACACCGGGAAGGCCGGTGTCAGTAACCGTGCGGTGTTTCCAAGGCCAGTCGTTATCTGATCCGCACACGATCAGCCGTAAGCACCGGCTCTCTGCTTTCCAGTTTACAGGAATGTCCACCCAGTCTTACCTAGAAAGTGAAACGTCACTGCCAGACTCACAGGACCACCCAACAGGGCATTCACACTTACTTTCTTCAAAAAAATAAGCACAGCATGTAGCAAACTGACCACAAGAACCCGAGTAGGAAATCCCCAAATTTTTACTATCGCCTTTTGGCTGACTCTGCGTACAAACTTCCCAAACTGGCCAAAATCTTAAAATGCAGAAGCCTATAGTCAGAAACACTCTTAGGAAGACACCTCTAAAAAACAGTATACCCATAGACATACACATACAGAGACACAGACACACACACACGCGTGTATCTACACACGCCCATATACATCCAGGCCAGCATTAAGTAACACTTGGCACCAAACCTCCACTTTGGAGGTTCGATGGCTTTCCTACAGTCAGTCTGGATTTTGCACACACGAATTATCCGGGCACCCCAGCCTGAGACCTGGCTCGGCCTGTCAGCACGTCGCGGACCCTACGTGGCCCGACCGGCACAAGCAATCAATAGCCAGCGGCTTCATTTCACAGCCAAGGCTTGCGCGCTCATCTGCGACCAGGTTAAGAACTGCCTTGGCACGTTGGGGTCCTCCAGAAGAAAGCCCTTGAGGCAATGTATACTCATTAACATGCCAATGAGTTTGTTAAACACGTGGTGGTAAAAGATTTTGTTCCCTTAAGAAAAGATGGCAGCTCAGGACTCATCATCACGACAGACCCTCTTACTGCAGGCCTACTGCTGGCCACGTTCTCATCCATGAAGTGGACATCCACCTGCAAAGCATGAACAGAAAATGAGAGATTTCAACCTAGAGCAGCCCACAGTGCAGTGAAAGCCCCAAAGCAGGCACCGGTTTCTTGCCCAGGGGAGTTGCCTGCCTCTGGGATAGGACCCGGCATAAGGGAAAGGCAGTAGACCTCCGAGGTGGTCTTCACCCAATGTCACCTTCTCCTCTTCTGCCTCAGGCCCTGTCTTGGTGCCATGATGAACAAAGACCTGCTTTCTCCTGCCTTTCTTCAAACAGCACAGACATGAGTGTTAAGGCCAAGGCCAATGGCATTCTGGCTTGCATCAGGAACGGTGTGCCCAGGAGGAGCAGGGAGGGGATCATGCCCCTGTGCTCAGCACTGGTGAGGCCACACCTGGAGTGCTGTGTTCAGCTTTGGGCACCTCACTCCAAGAAGGACATTGAGGGGCTGGAGCGTGTCCAGAGAAGGGCAACGAGGCTGGGGAGGGGTCTGGAGAACAAGTCTGATGAGGAGCGGCTGAGGGAGCTGGGGCTGTTCAGTCTGGAGAAGAGAAGGCTGAGGGGAGACCTTCTCGCTCTCCACAGCTCCCTGACAGGAGGGTGTAGTGAGGCAGGTGTTGGTCTCTTCTCTCAGGAAACTAGTGATAGGACGAGAGGCAATGGCCTCAAGTTGCATCAGGGGGGGGTTAGGTTTAATATTGGGAAAAATTTCCTTACTGAAAGAGTGGTCAGGCACTGGACCAGGCTGCCCAGGGCAGTGGTGGAGTCCCCATCCCTGGAGGGGGTCAAAAAACACGTAGATGTGGCATTTGGGGACATGGTTTAGGGTGTTGGGGCGACGGTTGGAGCTGATGACCTTAGAGGTCTTTTCCAACCTTAAGGATTCTATGATTCTAAGCCTGGATCAGGGGACAGATGAGCGGGTGAGCATCGCCTGCCCACCCAAAGCACATCAACATGGGAATCTGCCTGCCATCCTCTCACAGCCCCTCGGGAAGTGCACTCTCCATCACTCTCTATGGTGAAATAATAAACAGTTTTGCTTGCTCCAGTTTCTCCCAGGCTGATGACCATGTTAAAACCACCCTTTCGAACACGATGCAGAGCACAAAGGCTCACACAACCTCCCCGAGTCCTGCAGCAGAACCCTGAGCTACCAACCAGCCACCAGAGTGGCACCTACCAACGGAAGCATAAACATGTAACTCTAAATAAAGTTACTCAAACATGCACAAACTGTAAGTTGATTTTCTACTAGATTTTTCATAGAATAGTAAGGGTTGGAAGGGACCTTAAAGATCATCTGGTTCCAACCCCCCTGCCATGAGCAGGTACATCTTCCACTAGACCAGGTTGCTCAGAGCTCCATCCAACGTGGCCTTGAACACTGCCAGGGAGAGGGCATCCACAGCCTTCCAGAGGAAGGTTCATACGGTCTTTGGCTGGCACAGCAGAGCCACTGAACAGACATGTGGACGGGGTGAGATGGCAAAGTCACAGGTTTAGGGAGAAAAATCCTTGTGGTGATGTTCTGGCTGCATGTCAAGAGCACAAGGTGACACCCGCCCCGTGGCAGCTGCTCGAAGGACACCCTGGAGCCTTCTCTTCTCCAGGCTTACCAGCCCCAACTCCCTCAGCCTGTCCTCGTACGAGAGGTGCTCCAGGCCTCTCATCATCTACATGGCTCTTTTCCCAATCTTTTCTTAAGAGTCTGGCTGCTCAGTGCACACTGCGCTGGAAGGAGCCAAGTGGCATCTGGTGGGAATGACAGCCCAGGGGATTTGGGAACAGCAAAAAGATTCATTTTCTGCCTGGGAATATGGCTGAGTTTATGAGCTGTAGTAACTCATTGCCATACCCTGCCCTAACTCCTCTTAGCCCTTTGGGGAAAGGGAAGAAGATCAAAGCTGCACGGGGCATGGGACTGACGTGCCCTGCGGACACGGGTGTCGGGGTGGGCGGCCATCGGGGGAAGATGCTGCTGATCCCAGGGATGTGGAACCC